AATCCCAAAAGATATGGATAATGACAATGAGATTAATGGAGAGGAAAGTAAAAAAAATCAGATGTCACCTAGTTCCACAGAATCAGAAATAAAATTACCAGGTAATGATATGGTTGTTTCGAATCGTAAAGGTGTTTTAGATTTATACGATGACAGTGATTGGGAAGAGCTTGATATAGATAAACCTAAAGAATATATGAAACAAACTGACAGTAAGGAACCTAAGAAAGCAACAGAAGAGCAACAGGCTGAAAATGAAAAAGCTGATGAAGCAGACGATACTACAATTGCACCGGATCGTTCTTATACTCCATGTTTAGATGAAAATAACGAACCAGAGGAAAACGCAAATACAAGTCCTTTAAAAGAGATTACTACTAAAGAAGCTACTCCAAAACCTGAAGAGAAAGAAATTAATGGTGATAATACACCAACTGCAAACAATTTAGTTGAAATAGAAACAGAATTAATTTCCGAGGAGGAGGAAAATGTTCGTAGCAAAAATAAACGTCGTAGTGATAAACATGACACCAATAAAGAAACATTTAAAAAAGTTAGTAACAAACAAAAGATAAGGAATTATCGCAGTGAAAAACAATTTAATAAACGTAATGATAAACGACGGTATTCTCGGTCCACATCTAAATCGAGGTCTAGATCCAGGTCAAAATCATTCTCACGGTCAAAATCACCCCGCGGTCGTGGGCGTAAAAGAACACGTTCACCTTTTTATAATAGATCAAATAAAGAAAATCATAATTATCGTCACAATAATAGAGATTGGGATGATTCAGGTAGAAATAATATGGGGAAATTGCATAGACAGCGACCAAAGCGCCGTGAAATGCCGCGGTATGATGTGCGTAATATAATTGGTACACAAAGAACAGTAAAGGACCGTTATGGTCGTGATACTTCTAGACAATTACGTAATAGTAGATCAGCAAGTCGCGAGCGCAGATTGCATTCATTTTCACGATCACGTACTTCTTCATTATCGCCACGAAGAAACAGACGTAGCAGTTTTAGCATGTCTCCTACACCACCAGGTGTTCATCGTATATCCATATCGCCCCGTCGTTTCGCTTCTCCCCCACGTCACTATCATTCACCAAGAAGATTTACGCCACCACGTCAGCGCGCGCGCAGTACATCACGTTTACGATCTCGTTCTATTTCACCATTACCACGTATGAACAATCGCAAAGTTATTAGACACATGCGAAATGTTTCGCCCAATATACGATCAAGATCCCGTGCACGTTCTTTTTCACCATCTCCAAGATATACGCCGCGTTTAAGTCGAAGCCGTTCAAAAAGTCCATTTAATGCAGTTAAAAGCAAAAAGAAAAAAACAAAAGATCGTAAAAAGAAAAAAAATAAAAAAAGAGCTTTAAGCTTGAGTCCAGAAACCAATCGACGGATCTCACGGCAACAAGATCCATTTATTGAAAATGCACCTCCAAAAAAGAAACGTCATGTTGTATCGAAAAATAAATCACCAGTTGATGAACAAACATGGTCTCCGTCACCCAGTCCACCGCCACCTTTATTAAATTATGAACGTGAACGTGAAAATAATATATCCTGGACGCCGCCTATTACAACAAATCGAATTTCACAAATTTCACGTGACGATTATGCACCTGTTCTTCGTAGAAGTAGTTCTATACTCAGCAAAAAGGAGAAACGAAAGCGCACTAAAAAAAAGAAAAAAACAGAGAAACGTAAAGACACGACGAGAAAAGACAAACGACGTCAACGACGTACAAAAACTCCAGAGCCTGCACCCTCAAAAGAAGTTTTTGCTTCTGGAAATAATATACTTGTCAGCGTGAGCTTTAATAAAGAAACTACAAACCAACAACCACAACAAACCACTGTTGTTACATTGCCTCCTACTCGTGAGGACCTATTAACATCGCGACGTATATCCATAGATCATGCAGCTAATGCAAATGCTGCAAAGAAAAGAAAAGAAAAACCTCATAAACGTAAAAAAATTGATGCTAAGCCAATTGCTATAATTGATTTGGATCGTTCACCATTCCAAATACATCAAGAGCCCACAGATGTTATAATATTAACTGACAGCGAAGATGGACGTGAAAATGAACGAGAACAACGTCGCGAACGTCGTCAAAGTATACAATCTGTAAATGACAACATAGAGCATCGTCAACAACTGACCACTAGTGCACGTGTTAGTGTTCAGCATGAACAGACACCACCACTAGAACGTTTGGAAACTATTATGGAAGAATCATACGAATTACAACAAACTGGACCTAAAACACCACCTGAACCTCCAATAGTAAAATTCAATATAAATAGCAAAAAACAAAATAAAATACGGATTAATCCTTTACACGATGAACAGGAAATGCAATCGGAAACAGAATCACAAGAAAGACCTGAACAAGATGAGCATCGACAGGACGTGGAAACTATACATACACACAATAATCAAAAAATTGGACCAAATACTCCGCCTGATTCTGGTCCTTGTTCGCCGGATGCCTATGATCCATTTGAACCGACTAAATCACCATCGATGTCGCCACGTTCTCCGTCACCAGCACCAATCGATACTTCACAAAACTCTATTAGTGAGTGCGGTGCAGATGGTATCTCACAAAAACATGTTGAAGAGCAAAGACATTCCGGCGAACGAAATGCGCAACAAATTTCTGGAGGTACCAGTAGCGGTATAACTACACAGAGTACGACCATGAATCCTGTTGAATTAGTAATGGCTTTAATGAACACAAAAGTCAATAATAGTCAAGATTTAGCAAATAAGTCGAATGAATCGCAATATACCACTTCAACACATATGCTAAGTAGTGGCGTACATGGAAGTACTCATGATGATAACATGGGTGGAATGCGTGAAAAATCTGATGATAACATTACAGTAATATCGAATGTATTAATTTCAACTTGTGTATCCCAACAATCACAGCACATACCTAGTATATCTAGTCCAACACCTCCAGTCAATAAAACTTCACAAGTTTTAAAATTACCTTTACCAAAAGTAGGTGGCAGTGTAGGCAGTAGCAGTGGAGTAGGACTGCCTGCAATAAATAACAATGTGCGCAACGGCACAGCTGATGACATATTTAATATAAATGACACTGAAAGTCCATATTCACCCGGATCTGCTGATTATGAAGATCTATTTGAACCGCCACCAGACACAAACAGCAAACGACGAACAAAACGCGCCGGTAAAGGCGATGTATTTGATAATCTATTTGGTAGCTCTTCTCCAGTGAATGCTTTACGTCTACCCACTTACACACCATCGCGAAAACAAAAGCAAAATGCATATGGCGTTGCAAATAAAAATAAATCAAAAGGTGGGTTTGAAGAAGTCAACGGAAGAATTTATTTGATTTTTCGAATAAAAATATGGTAAAATGGGTGTGATGTGAAGTGGTGTGTTTGTATGTATGTTTTTCAGTAGTTTTTTTTATTTTTGTTATGTTATTTTTGTGTTGGGAAGTGTCTTTTTATAAATTTTTTTTAGTAATAATGTCCAGTTACCAAAACATTGGGTAAGTGCTTTGAAAGCAATACATTTCTTTTAATGAATACAATTAATTTAAAAAGTATATTCGTTAGATAAAAAAAACAACAGATATTTATATTAAAAATAAAAAAAAAATTTCTTAATGGTTGGGCTAGATCTTGGTGTCTTGTTTCAATTAATAAATATTCTACTCTAAATTTTAAAAACAAAATATTTAATATAATATAAAATTCTTTTATCGTTAATTACTATGTATAATTTAAAAAAATATATAAGTATAAGGTTATAATATAATTTAATATTAAAACACATATCTCATTCTCTTTATTAATATCATATGTTTGACATTTATTGTTGATATATTTAAAATTACAAATTTATTGACACTATTATTACTCTATGAATTCTATGTTTCATCACAAACGAAAGAGCATAGATGATCATTGGCCCCTTTTTTAAATATTGAAGACAATACAACCTTAATTTTTATTTTCAAGTGATATTTTTAAGTATTGATCCACTATAACTTGTCGTGATTAAATGATTGTAACATTAGTTATAACATTCCGCCCTGATTATGAACTCGAAAAACTTCGAAACGTTGGCAATTTTTTATATACAAAAAAACTGTGTATTTAAATAAAATATATAAATACAAACTGTATATCAAATAAAACCAAGAAAAAATAATTCCTATTAAATATTTCACAGTAATCTTGAAATAAACAAACACATCAATTGAAAGCAAGGACCGTAACAGTTATGTTTAAAAAATTAAAAATCACCTTATAACTGTTATCATTCGCAATTTTTAAATAAAACTCAAAAAATAATAATTAAATTAGATTTATATTACATTCATCAAAAATAATTGTTATCGTGTGCTTTTTATTTTTTTCACACAGATATAACTATTATACTCATCTTTTTATTTTAAAACACACAAATAACTGTTATTTTTGTCTTATAAATAAAGTCAAACTTCCATAACTAGAAGTTAATTTTTTTTTTTTTAATTTTATACTCTTTATACTATTATACTATTATATACTATTATACTCTTTTTTTATTTTAAAACACCCAAATAACTGTTATTTTTGTCTTATAAATACAGTCCATAACTCGAAGTTAATTTTTTTTTTTGTTAAATTTTATTTTTTTTAATATCATTCTTTTTTATTTTATTTTTTTTTTTAAAATTTCATTTTTTTAAATTTCATTTTTTTTTTTTAATTTTATTTTTTTTTCAATTTTGTTTTCTTTTTTAATTTCATTTTTTTTTTATTTTTGAAAGAAACTAGAATTACATTTTAAGATATTTATTTATTTGCGATCAAATACAGCACAGAAGTTATAGTGAAATAAAATAATTAGAAATTAGTGTTTGGAATTTTAGGAAGGAAAGCTTGATGTACAAATTTCATTATATAATCGTCAATATAATCGTTAAGAGTAGCATTTATCGCTGCCAACGATTGGAAAAAGCGACTTCTCCTAACATCAAAATGCATTTATACTTAAAACAAAAATTCGACTTTCCCATATTCCTATCAGCACAAAACAAAATTTTTCTTCGAGTTATGGAAGCAGAATTGTATGTAATTTGCTCTCTAAAACCTAGGTGCACTGTTTTTGGTTCGAGTTATAGAAAATACAAGTTGTAGAAGGTAGTTGTTTGATAATTTCTTACAAAATGTATTTAAAGGTTGGTGTAATTAAAAAGTCACTTCTGGTTTTTGTGTTTGTATTGTTTTGCGTACAAAAGAAAAACTAAAACATTACTTGCACCAACTCTTTAATACATTTTATATGAAATTACAAAAACAACTACCTTGTATTTTTAAAAATATCAGACAAGCTAGTGTTAGTTATATTTTATTTTCAAAAATAAGGGTTATTCTTGATTTTTATATTTATAAGACAAAAATAACAGTTATTTGTGCGTTTTAAATTAAAAAGTAGAATGTAAGAATTATTTTTGATAAATATAATATAAAGCAAATTTATTTATTTTTGGAGTTTTATTTTATAATGCTCATATATACAAAGCATACATAATATTAAGGATGAAAACTGTTAGAATGATAACTGTATACTTAAATATGAGTTTAGACAGCCTTTTGTTCCTGCTTTTTTTCTTAAAAATTTTTTAAATAACTTATTTTCGGTTCCGGATCAATCTAATAGCATAACAGTATTGTTCCAACAACTATTTTTTTTAATATCTTTATTCAGTTTTTTAGTATTTCAAAATAGAGATCTGTGCTAATGCATATTGCTCCATTTTCAGAGTATGGTAATTTTTTTTTAAATTTTCCTAAAAACAGTCTGCTTTGACACACATATAATCAGTTCTCTTCAAAAATTATTTGTGTCTTAGCATACGACTATAAACTTTAATAAATAAGTACCACTCATCCACCTCTAAAACGCTTTTTTAAACACATTTTATCAAAAATTTTGCTGACGGTGAAATAAGAGTGAACACACTTTCTGACCGTGTTTAATAAGATTTATATTATACAAAATTAAATATAACAACTTTTTTTATTGAAAGAATATCTCCTATTCTATTTTTGAGATAAACATCCCAATAACCGTTAAAAAAATGTCGAGTTTAAAAACATTTAAAAGTTTTCTTGGCTCATTTTTAAATATAACTTTATAATTTTATAGACTATTAAATAAAATATAAAAACTAAAAAAGAAATATGAATTTTAGTTTTTTATCATATTTGGATTTAAGTATACAGTAAACACAAATGTTTCATTCAGGTTTTCCGCGCACAAGTTAGCAAGCTAAAGTTTTTGTATAAGTGCCACACTTACAAAGATCACCTTTCCAAAAAATCACATATCTCAATATTATTTTCAGATGAACTATCGCCCAACCAGCAAAGATCGCACTCCCAATTGAACAAGGTTTTAAAACTAACCCTTTAAGAGAACTTTAATAGTTAAACTTTATGTGAAAATTTCAGAACAGTCTTACATACAATGCTGTTAAAATAGTTAGTACATGCTACAAACAAATTATAACTGATTAAAATATGGTAGGCTAATCCAAAAAAATTTCAGATCAGTCTTAATCAACTAAAGTCGTAAAGTAATAAAGTCAACTTATATGCATATTTGTGATACCATATACCTTGTGATCAAAAAAGAACTTTAATTTTTAATTTTTGAATTCCCGCGCTTATCCAATCGGTAAATTGTTTTCATTTGCACGCTGGCAACACATTCTGTCAAAGTTTAACGCATATCGTACGATTAGTTTTATTTGGCGTCTATACAAAGAAGTCGAAAATTTTCTCTATGGTCTCAAAACGCGTTCCTCGCAATGGCAATTTGAGTCGGGAGAAGAGGAAAAAGTCACACGGGGCCATATCTGGAGAGTACGGTGATTGGTTGATGATATTGGTGGAGTTTTTGGCCAAAAACTGCGAGTTTTTTTGAATGAAATTCAGCTTTTTTGCCACCAGCCGAGAAGCGACGCGTTTCAAACCCAAAACATCGATCTTTTTTGATCAGAAGGTATATCATAGCTGTTGAATAGCTGTTGAAATACAATTCAGGAACCAATAAATTTCATTTCAAATACATAGGTTATGACTAAATTAACTAAACCCAGTTAAAGCTTAACATGTTGTCGGAACACATTGCCGTACGTGAAAATACTTCAACCTCAAGCATAATATCAAACAGTGAGGTAAACTCATATTTACTCTTTTCTCCCGGTGGTATGAAGCTCATTCATAAGGTTTACATGCATATCAAAAATGATGGGCGTAATTTTTGCAGTTTTTAACAATTTAAGAGTAAAAAACACCATGACGTCCAGCGTCATGTGTTTATACCTTCACAGTTCCAGAAAGTTTCCGATTTTTCTACGATGATCATTCAATATTTGATAGTTATAATCAATTAACTGTTTGTTAGTTGACTAGTTGACCGTTAAAAACGAAATTGTTAAAAATAATGTAGACAGTTAAAATAGTTAGTAATTTTGTCGTGCTTCATGTTTAGGCACCAAACCTTTCATACACTACTCTTAATTCTGAGTCTCTAAGATAGACTTAAGCATCAACTCAATCTTTCTTGTTGTGCATCTTAATTTCTTGTTATATAAAATTAATTTATTTTATTAAAAATTTGAAAACTTGAATTTTATGAACTTTTTTTTTATATTATTTGAATAATACATAGTAAAATATTGAATAATACTATTTTCCTTTAAACATTTTTAATTGGTACAATAGACGAAATAGTAATGTGTATTTTATTATATTATTTAACATATGTAGAGGTTTAATATTAATTAGAAATAATCATTTAAATTATATGAAATGTAAATATTTATAGACTTAAAGTGCTACTTACTGAAAACTAGAAATAAGATTTAATACTTAGGTAAATATAATAAAATAGAATAAAATAAAATACAGTAAGACCACGCTTAACGCGTAAGATACGTTCCATCAAAATAGAGCGTAATGCGAAACAGTGCTAAACGAGACTGTCTAAATATGTAAATAATGGGGTTAGGGGCAGATTGATAGAAAATGCTTTATATATTAAATTTAATAATTAAGTTTTTTCTAATAACAATAAAACCAAATATTTGTTTCTTACAAAAACAAAGACAATGTAAACAAATAAAATTCTAAGTCAGTCAGATCATTCAGTTCATTCTGTGTTTCCAATTTTCTACTGTTTTGCCAAGAAGGTAATTATGGTAGTTTGCGTTTTCTTTTTGCGTACTGTTAGAAGTTATTGATAAGTGGATAAAGCACCTACAACACCCTGTATTGATTTGGAACTCCTGTCAAAATTTGGATCATTTTCAACAAATTGGTCCATAATTTCAGTTGTAGTAGTCAAACTTCTTTTTACAAACGCCATCAAAAGATCTTTTTGCTCTTC